CAAAGGGAAGGGGGCCTTTTGTTTTTTGGTTTTTTTTTCTTCTTCTACCCCCACCCTTTTATTCTTTTTGCAGTTTAGCAATTTTGTTTTGCATCTTTTCCAGACGGCGTTTTGCAATAAAAATGTCTGACTGCCACAGAGAGGCACAAAAGTCAGGGCTCCATCCAATTTCCCGAGCTGCTCTTGGTTTGGGGGGAAGAGGATTTGGTTGTTGCTGAGGGTGAACAATAGGTTTTGTGGGTCCAGTAGGTCAGCTCACAAAATTGGAATTGTCTTTCAAAAAATAACGCTGCACACGGTCTTTAAAATGTCATCCAGAGGTGCAACCATAAACTTCCTTTTCCATAATAATTTTTATTACGCCTCAGATCAGGAAACACTATTTCAAGCTCAGTAAGTGGAGCCTTAGGAGTGTTACGTCCGATTGAGCAGTGGGGGGAAACTGCCACAAAATGAAGGTGTTTTTTACAGAATCCCAGAATGGTTTGGGTTGGAAAGGACCTTGAAATTCATCTCGTTCCACCTCCTTGCCATGGGCAGGGACATCTTCCACTATCCCAGACTGTTCACAGCCCCATCCAACCTGGCCTGGGACACTTCCAGGGATAGGTTAGAAGCTCATTATCTCTCAGTGGAGACCAGGCACAGATCTGGGGAGGATTCCAAGCCTGTACCTGTTCCTAGCGATGGAAAAGCAGGCTTTGGAGAGATTGGAATAGCTGAAAAAGAAGAAGGTGTGATATTCATACCTGTGTGCTATTATAGCCTTGGAAAGTCACTGCTCTCGGAGAGTCTCTCATTTCATATGTGGTGCCTTGGAAAAGGGTGGCAGTGGGACAGATGGAAGAAACATAGGGAGACCTCAAGGAAGGAGCAGATATTTTCTTACATTTTAATGTTGTGACACATGGCTTATCCCCAGGTGAGTGGTTTTAGTGTGGACTTGGAAACCCCTTTGCCCAATATAAAACTACAACCCCAGTGGAGGGCTTTCTCCCTATCCACCACTCTTGTATTATTTGAAAACCCTCAAACTCCAGAATGCTTTTTGTATCTCTGTTTTTGATAATCTGAGCCGTATCTCTAGCTTAAGGATGGCTCTAGAGCACAGCCATGCATAGGTCAAGGGGTAATGGCTTTAAGCTGAAGGAAAGTGGATTGAGATTGGATATTGGGAAGGAATTGTTCCCTGGGAGGGTGGGAAAGCCCTGGTTGCCCAGAGAAGCTGTGGCTGCCCCTGGATCGCTGGAAGTGCTCGGGGACAGCTTGGACATAGGCATCAAGGTGAAGCTAGCATGTAGCCTGGGTTCAGCTTGTGACTTCTCCAGCTTTGAGGACCATCATCGTGAAGCACAGCTGTAAATTCAACGACTGCTGGCGTTCAGAATCCAAAGAGCCCCCCAAAACAGCGGTGTCTCTTTTCGGTAGGCCTGTTTAGAAAACACGATCATACCCATTTGCTCAATTTGCATGTCTGAAAGGCTTCTGCTCAGTTAATTGGTTAAATTAATTTCTGCTGTTGTAAACAGAGAGCTGCTGTATTAAGAGCAGAACTAAAGTAATTTTACTTTACATTATTCTGTCATGGCGCATCGTTCCTTTCTTACTCAAGGCGATTCATTTTGTGGGGCTGTCAAGTAATGTTTGGTGTCATCTTCAGTCAATGCAGCTTTTTTGATTTTCCCCTGATATTTTAACAGTTTATTTAGTCCTGTAGATAATGGTCAATGGCCTTGAGTAGTCAAATTAACACTTGGGTGGCGCCGCAGCGGAGCGGTAACCCGGGGACGAAAAGGGATGAGAATCGACGCGGGGAGCGCGTTTTGGGGGATTATGGATTGATGGATGTGGAGACAGCGTCGCCCCGCTCTGACTAAGATGGAGCTGCCAGTTAGTGCTGACTGCAGGCCATCACCTGCCTGGTGTCTCAGCAGCTCGGGGCTGGAGACCTCGGGTAGCCCTCGGATCCCGGGATCGGCGGAACGTTCCAGCTGCCAGAACCGGAGACGGCGCCGATTGGATTCAACCCTGTGATTCCTGTCGGGATCTCTTTGGGACAGCGGAGGCACTAATGGCTGGTGTCCCCCCTGCCCTGGGAGGAGGGGGAGCCGTGTTAAGCCGTGCTGCTGGCAGTGAGCTGCGAGCTCCGGTCCCCCCGCCACAACTCTCAATTGCTAGCAGGTTTCTCTCACTGCACCTCATTTGCATCTGGGACATCAATTAGCATGTTTGTTGAGGCTAATTGAATGAAACTCAATCATAGCTCTTAATTGCTTGACTATGTGAAAAGAAATCACATTAATGCAGCTAATTAAGTGTATGGCAATAGATGCAACATAATTAGGAGCGAAATGTAAAAAACAAGCGACGGCGGAGGTGCGAGCGCGGGGTGCGGGGATCGGCGCGCCCGCGTCTCCTCTGTGCCACATGTTTGGGGAGGGGTCCCTCTGCTTTGCTGCTGGCTTTAATTTTATTATTTTTTATTATTTTTTTCTCCCCTGCCTTGCTGAATGATGAACGTGGGCAAGTTGAGAAGAAAAATGCAAATGGATTCGCAATTACTACTTTTTCAAGCTGTTGAGGGGCAGAAGATGGCACGTCTGGGGTGGCCCACTGTTGAGTGGGCTCTAGGGACTTGTTAAGTGCTGTTTAAAAGTACTTGGCTTTGAATTACCCTCATGCCTTGTTAAAGGGTTTTTTTCCCCTTTTTTCTCGGATCAGCATTTTCTACAACTAACATCTCGGGGAGTTATCCCTGTACCATTTGCATATCAAAATCCAGCTTGCTGTCTTCTCTTTAACACAGCATATTCCAGATGACAGCAAGACCCTCATCTGTTCTAATCTGATCAAACCCTCTATTGCGCTTCTGAAGCCTCGGCATCATTTTGTAGTTTGAACTTTCCTTCCCCGAGCGGGGATCTGACGGGGCTGGGAACGCGGTCCTTGCCCTCCCCTCCTCGGGGGGACCCGCAGATTATCGCCGTGCATCCTGCACACGATGAAAGGCCCTTTATTATTTACATTTGATATATCCCCATAAATATTTAAGCTGACATTAATACCTACCCGGCATCTGTTGTTGTTCCGGGCGCGTCGCTCTAACGGCGCCTGCAGCGCGTTGGTTTTGTGCTTGTCGACCCTCCCTCCCTTCCTCCACTGGTTTTGGGGCTCACCTCAGCCTGCTTTACCCCCAGTTATAAAAACCTTCAATAACACCCTGCCACATCCCAAGTTGGGAGATCACACCCACCCTTCACCCGAATCGGATCCAAAACCCCTTTCTCCAGTTGAAGTTGGTTGTACGTTAAATAAAACTATTAGAAAAGAGCACGTGCCGAGGTTTAGTCACTCTCTGATTAAACCTCACTTCAGAGCCCACAAGCAATAAATGCTCAATTATCTTCTGTTTATTGTATTTTAATTTGTGAAGAAGTGACACCCAAACAAGAAAGTGCTGCCAGGTTCATAATTTATGGATGAAAATTGTTTGTTCTCCAGCACCTAGTAAAGGAATTTTCCTGAGTGGATTGCCTTTGTTTTTCTCTCGGCAGCAGAGCTCTGTGTCCTCTCCCCACAAATTGTTCAGACCTCACCTTTTCTTGTTAATAATTCTCACAGAGCTTGGGAAAAATAAGCTTCCTTGATGGCTTAGTTTGAGGGTTTTATCACTGATTTCTGTTAACTATGAAGAAATTATTGCTGCTCCAGATTTTTGATGGGTTTTGAGCGGAAGAAATAATTTGTGTTGTAAAAACTGCCAAAGGTGAAAGAATCTTGATGAGGGAGCAATCAGCTCCCTGGATTGTGGCAGCAGTGATACAGATTTTGGGTGAATTCAAAAAATTTGTTGGGAAATGGGAGCCCAGATCTTCTCCCAGCCACCTCAAATCACTGTTTTTTCTCTTGGGGTCCTTAATCCCAGAGTCCTGGAATGGTTTGAGTTGGAAGGGACCTTAAAGCTCATTTCATTCCATCCCCTGCCATGGGCAGGGACACCTTCCACTATCCCAGACTGCTCCAAGGCCCGTCCAGCCTGGCCTGGGACACTTCCAGAGATCAAGGGGCAGCCACAGCTTCTCTGGGCAGCTTTTTGTGCAGTGCTTTTTCCCCTTTTCACCCCTGATTTTACTCTCCTGTGCTGCCCCTCTTGCATATCTCCTTTACAAGAGTGTCTCTTTTGTTGCTTTTCATGTCCTCAAAATTGTTCCAGCTTCGATTATTTTTTTCTGGAATGTGAGTGACCACAGCCCTGTGTACCAGGAGATGAGAACTTAGGTGTCTTGTGTGCTGGCTTTAGCATTCACCATCTCTCCTGGAAATACCTGTGCTGGTGTATCCCAGGATCAATTTGCCCTCTGATGAAAACACCCATGTCCATTTGCTTTCCTGTTTATTTCCCCTTTGTGAGCTTTCCAAGCAAGAATTAGCAAAAGCCTTTTCCATTTCTGGCTCCCAGTGTTTGCTCTAATCAGATGCAATTTGCATGATTTTTTTTTCCCGCCTTTGATGATGTTTTGGTTAGGTTCAGGAAGGGTCATATTCTAAGGAAACAAAGTTGGAATTACTGAAACCTTCCCTGCTGGTTCCCTTTTGTAACTTTGGTGCCTTCTGACCCATTCCAGCCAAATTTGGGGAAGGAGATGAGGGCATAAAGCACTGGCAGAGAGGAGACACAAGTCAGTGTGCTCAGCAGGGATACTCAGCCTTGTCTTCTACTGTTTAGGACCTTTGGCTGGTGAATTCCCACTCATGGCTGTGTTGTGAGTTACCTCTTACCCAGCTGGTAGTTGAAGGATCCATGAGAAAGCTCCAGACTTTTGGGGTTAATTGTGAGAAATGTGGAAGGGATTATCAGGAACATGGAAGGAAAGGAAAAACCATATGGTGGGTGCTGGCAGAGGATGTAGGGCCAAAGCCTTGTGAAACCAGGTTTATTAATCCTGGTTAACATCATCCCTGTCTGATGTTGTGTTTGGGGTTTTTTCCTCTCTTTGCAGGATTACATGCAGAACGTTCACGGGAAAGAGATCGACTTGCTGAGAACCACTGTGAAGGTCCCTGGGAAGAGGCCACCCCGAGCCACATCAGCCTGTGCCCCCATCTCCAGCCCCAAAACCAACGGCCTCTCCAAAGACATGAGCAGTTTACACATCTCTCCAAATTCAGGTAAGAGAAGACCTTGCTAGGGGGGAAAAAACTGGCAGAAAGCCTGGATTTCCAGTGTTTGTAGGGAATTACCCTCAACAGCTGGGACAGGGATGGATATCTCAATAATTGGAAAGGGCCAGGCTGGTGCTGCTCAGAGCAACCTGGTATCGTGGAAGATCTGAGCTTTAGGGTCCTTTCCAACCCAAACCATGATGGGGAAGTTTTTAAGCCCTGACTATTCATCTGTCCCCCAGGAGAGATTCTGAGTTTCTGAGCAGCCTTCAGTGTCTGTCTTTCGTGTATTTGTTACCTTGTACGTGCCAAAGCCCTACATAATTTCACAGTAATTAACATATGGGAGGAATTCACAATCTCTTATCTAATACTCTGTGAAAAGCAAATGCTGTATGATCTGAAAGGGCTTTTTATGGCTTCCTGGTGAGATCCACAGCCCTTCTTCCCACTTTTGGAAAGTTCAGTATTATGCATTCTCCTAACAGCAAGATTCTTCTTTGGAAAGCTGTTTTAATTTATTGATGGAAGTGGTTTATAGCTCCTTCTGAGCTCTAAACAAAGACGTTTATTGTTTGCTGAAGTACTTGTCCATACAGCTAAGTGGATTTTAAAAAATTGCATTAAGGGAAAACATTTGAGGCAATTTATCTTGTAAAATGCACAGCTTGTACAAAACCCATAATGGTCTAGTGGAAGTTCTGTCAGCATGTTTGGGATGACATCCATAAAATGCCAAGTGCCTTTTGCATTTGTGGGTAATGTAGACACCTCCTACATGTGCCAGGAAAACCATCCCCACACTCCTGTCCCTGTGCAAAACCCACTGGGATGAGCAGCCATGGGATGCCTGGATATTAAGGTGTCTTCTCTTGGATGATAATAATTATCTGTCTCATACTTCATAGAATCAGGCTGGTTTGGGGTAGAAGGGACCTTAAATATCATCCAATTCCAGCCCCCAGTCCTCCAAGCCAAGATGAAATTCTCTGTTTTTTGAGGCATTCCACTTTATTAGGGGAAGACAGGGAAGTTTTTCTCTTTCCAGCTCTGAATGGTATTGTTTGAGATGGATTTTTAAAGTGATGCCACTGAGCAGACACCCCTGGATATCTTGGCCTGGGACCTGAGGTGTCTGAAGCCATGATTTTATCAAATTCTTGTTTCAGGTTGTGACTTGGTGCTGAAAGAGTTCATATGAGAAAATTCTTCATGGTTGGGTTGTTTTTTTCCAGTTGAGTATATAATTACATGACTAGATGAGAGGAGTGCTTTGTTTTTCAATATACTTCCTAATTTAGGGAAGAAAAGTGCTGTACTAAGTCAATAAACTGCAGGTGAGACATTTAAATAAAGATACTGCAGTTTTTAACACACTTGAACACAGTAAAAAATTACTTGATAGCTTCAGAGAAGCAAGTTTCTGTAAACACAGTTAGAGAGATATGTAAGAATTTAAGGTTTATGGCATGGAATTTACATGTTTTGGCATCTACTAGGATTGCCAGGTCAGAGGGAAATTTTCCATGCCAGTTCACAGCAGGTAGCTCCCACTGTGTGTGTGTGTGTGTGTGTGTGTGTGTGTGTGTGTGTTTTCTGGCCAGCCTGAGGTACAGAAAGAAGTCAATTATGCCAGAAATTCCAAATGCTGGGAAGTTCCAAATAACACTGTAGGAACAGTTGGAGCTTCTCTCCTCCCTCTTGGCTTCTTCATCCTCTTGCTTAGAAATACTGAAAGACTTTGCTCTGTTGATGTCTGGCCAGCATCTGCTGCTTGTTATTGGCTCAAAAGCAAACATAAAAAGGAGCTGCTAATCAGTTAAAAATGATTTAAAAGAAAGAAAAAGAGGGCACTGTCCCAAGCTGTGCCTGCCTGATGTGGTCAGGGACAGTGGTCACAGCTCCTGATGAGTGGGAGACATGTAGGTACTCGGGGCTGAGTTCTGCAGTGCCAGGAGGACACCTGGAATCACTGCAGTTATGTGCCATGCAGCTCAAAACACCTGCAAATGATCCCTTGCAGGCTGTGCTGTGGCCTCAGAGCTTCCCCTCACTTGTTAGTGCTGGGAAAAGTGGTGTCTTGAGCCTGTGTGATGCTTTTAAATTGATCACAGGGCTGAACTTGTCACTTACTGGTTGTCACTGGGAGGTTTTTGTACAGGCTCTGCCACACGGAGGAGGCTTAGACTAAACAGGAGGAATCAGCACTTGATAATTTGATTTTTAGGCCTGTAAATTTGCTGTATTTTCTCTGCTTCATGTTACCTCTTCCCCAAAACAGTTAAATGCTGCTTGGCTTGGTTGATGCCTTCATTTGAGACCTAAACACTCCTTGGAAGGTGCCCCTTAAGGCTGCATTTCAGTGCCAACTTCGCCAAGAAATCTCTTAATTAAATGCCTATTTGATTGCCTGTAACTGATATTTTAAGTTCATGTTTCAGCAAATAGTTTTCTGTGAGTGTAATTTCTTGCAATTCAACCACTTTTGTGATCCTACCATGGTCTGTGAGCAGCTCGAGCTCCTCCTTCTTCTCATCCCCTTCCCTCTCTAAAGCATTTTTGGACCTCGGTGATTGATCAGACACCTTTAATTTCCTCCCACATGGGGAGGGTCTTTCCCAAGGTGCTTCCCATAGCAGTGCTGTGAGCAGAATAGAGGGAATGAGGCTGATGAGGGCAATATTGGGAATTCAGGAGGGGCAAACTCAGTTCTTTGGCACTACGAGTTGCAGCAGCCAAGCAGCAAGCACAGGGTTTTCTGTTGGATTTACCTGACGTAGGTGCCACACACAGAAGGGAAAGTTTAGGACTCTGTCATTCCTATCACATGGGATTTTGTCACACTTTGGGGCACTTCTGAGCTGAACAAGATTGTTTTTCTGATTTTAAAGACTTGGACAAACAGACATATAAAACCATCTCTCCATGACAGCTCTCCTGATCCATAAATGTCTTTACATCCCAAGCTTCTGGAAGGAGGTATCTCTGGGGAAAAATCATCTTAATAACAAAAGCCAAGTTCCAGTCCTTGAGAGTTTGTGTTTCAGAGATGTTAAAAATAAATAAATAAGACCTTGATGAGAATACATCTTTAAAAAACTCCTGATTACTCTTCCCTGCTGGGTTTCCACTGGCACAAGGGCTGGGAAAAATACTTTTCCCTTGACATCAAGTCACAGTCCTTTGTCACAGTCATGGTGGGACAGTGAACAAACTGGAAGTGAAACAGCAGCAGGAAAAAGGAATATTTTCTGTGCTCTGTCAGAAAGCAGGGAAAGGAGTAGAAGGTTGGGCTGCTCCTGCTGTTGCAAAGCCAAGCACCTTGCTTGGAAAAAGGTTGATTTTGATTTGAAAACTGATCTCTTCTTGGGTTCTTGGAGGTGCAGTTTGGGGTTCATTGTGTAAGAACTGGGATTCTGTGTGGCAGCTTCTCCCAGAAAACACAGAGAGATGCAGGATTGTTTTAATTGTGTTATTTATGTTGTAGAGATTTTAAATAACAGGTTGTTAACTGTGGCTTTAGGGAAGGTGCTCACACTTGTAAGCTAACTTGGTAGGAATCTGTGCATTGGGGGAAATGGATGTTTACTCCCTTTAATCTAAAATTATGTCACTTCTGTGGTATTTTCAATCCAAGCTGACAAACGATGCTGAAGTAACTGAAATTTAAATTAAATTTACATGGCACTGAGCATCGTTCTGCTGATGCAGCTCAGTTGGATGTCCTTCAGAAAAGGGTAATTCTTGGACTTGCTCAGTTCCAGCTTTGTTTTCTAGCTGGAGCAGGGCCAGAGTCCTGTGCATCCCACTGGCCAGCCTCTCTGCCCTTTAGGAGCTGGCTCAGCCTGACTTTGGAGCCAGGAGTGGGTCCAGGTTTCATTCACTCCTGAATTGGGCTGGATTTGAGCTGCTTGACCTGAAGGTGAACTTATTCCTGAAATCTCTCCCAGGAGTCATTTATTTCTTTTCCTCTGCAAACAACCCAAAGCCTGAGCTGTAGCAAGAGCCACTGATGTAGAAAGTTCACATCTAAAAATAGCTTATGGTGTAGAGATAAATTGTTTCCTGATTAACACTTCATTTAAATAATTTGGTGCTATTAAATTTCTTTAAAATGGGGACTGTACAGTATGTGAAGAATCCCAAAATGTGTTAGTTCCAGGGCCATCGTTAAGTGTGCTGAAGGTTGTTATCTGCTAACTGCTTGTGACATTTCAGATGCTGCAAGAACGGCAGCTCCATGTTCTTATCACTGTGAAGTTCCTGTCTGTTATTAATTGTGATCATCTATCAAATCCTCGGTGTTTTTTGTGGATCATGTAATAATCTTTCTTAATTGGGGGTCACTGTGAGGATTCAGATGTTACAGTTGGGCTGATGATGAGGAAAAATGTTTCTCAAGCCAAGAGTTCACTGGAGTGGGCAGTTTTTCCAGAGCCTGTGGACCTCGGGTTCCTATGCAAATAAATGAACTGAACTCAGTTCTGGAATCTGCTCTGAATTCCCTCCTTGGAGGTGACCTGGTGTGGTTCCCACAAGGCCAGAGGTTGGTGGCTGGGAGCTATTTATCACCAATTCTGGATCTGGCCGAGGGACATGAGGTGACTTCACACAAAACTTCCCGCACTTCTACTTTAGAGTGATTTTTATGCGTTTGCCAGAGATCACAAATGCAAGTTTGTGACTTACTTTTGTCATTAATCACCCCAGTCAGTTTTCCATCTGGGTGGCTTTGCTGTTGGTTCAGTGATACACAGCTGCAGTGGTGGGAAGGAGAAGTTGGCAGTTTGCTCATTTCAAAGGAAGAAAGCCCAATTTCAAGTGCATCCGAGATTTCCCTTTCATCCCACTAGAGGGGGATCCCTCAAGGTCATTTTCTCCATTTCCTTAGGACTAGGATTTGCCCTTTCCAGAACTAGAGAGGCACAAACTTTTACTGTTAGCACCCTATATTCCTTAATAATGGGAGAAAGGGAACAGGGGACATAATAGCAATAATGAAATAA